GTCATGATCTCCCACAAGGGGGTTAAAAAGGTACTTATAGGTTCTTCCTCTATATTTCATGAGTAATCTCCAAGTTTTTCCAATAGTCTATAATTAGTATTGGAAGAATTTCAGGATGTTTTTCAAGAACCTCCTTTGGGGCTTCTACCTTTAAAGAGAATCAAACTTCAAACTTATTTTGTACCTAGTTCATTCATCCTTAACAGACAAATTATTAGACAATCTTGGAGGAGTATAGGGAAATACAAAAGCAAGTAGAAGAGTTAAAAGATAAGGGTAGAGTCCAGGAAAACATGAGTCCTTGTATAATGTTGGTAATTTTTTTTCCCCAAAAAGGATGGTAGTTGGTGGATGTGCATTAACTATAGGGTAATCAATAACATAACCATCAAGTATAGGCACCCAAACTTGAGGTTGGATGTCTTGCCAGATGAATTACATGGAGCATTCATGTTTTTCGAAATTGATCTGAAGAGCAGGTAAAATCAAATTAGAATCAAAGGAGATGAATGGAAAACCACGTTCAAAACCAAATTTGCTAACAAGGTAAGGAAGTCATCTTCCAACCTGGGGATAGAGTATGGCTTCATTTGAGAAAGGAGAGGTTCATGACTCAAAGGAAGCCCAAATTGAATGCTTAGGGTGACAGACCTTTCCAAATAGTTAGGAGAATAAATAATAATGCATGAGTTAGATCTACCAACAAAATATAACATTAATAACTCTTTCAATGTTAATGATCTTACTCCCTTTGATGCAGGTTTTACAAATTTGTGGACAAATTTTATCAAAGAAAGGGAGGATGATGAGTCCCTAGTTGCCTTAGAGGTGGGAGAGGTCATCCCTAGGAGGATTACTAAGAACATGACTAAAAGGGAGATTTCCTCCTCACCCTCCATTTTGAATTTTCTTAACATTTTTATTTTTTAAATTTTAGAGAGACTCGTTTTTGCACTTTTTTTGTACGACCACTTTATGCACCTCTTTTTTTAAGATCACCACCTCTTTTTAGTGAAAAAGAAGGCTTGAACATATAAGATGGTTACATAGGTTGTTCAAAGGAGTAGGACACTCATTTTTCATGTCCTACACTCCTTTTTTAAGAGGAAGAAGCTTTGGATGTAGGATTGGTAGGCTTGGGACAACCCAAAAGGAAGCACAAATGTTTTTTCATGTTCTTCACACCCTTAGAGGTATTTTTGGTGGGTTAGGAGGAATTTAAAATATGTGGGTCATGGGGACTCTTACCCTTTAGGTTTAGGTTAAAGTTATGTATGCTTTTGTAACAATTTAGTGTTTTTAACCTATTGTACTTGATATTTCAAAATGTTAGCAAATCAAAATGTTACATTTCTTATCTATCAAAATATTGGGTGATTAAATTAGGCACAAGGATGTGTCCTCTAGAGACTCGAGTTGAATTGTTGAGTTTTATAACTCGATTATTATGGGCAAAAATATCCTAGTCATTAGGAGAGCATCCTAACAAACTTTGGACTTAAAGTAGCATTGGTGACATTGGCCCAAAAAATAATCCATGCAAATATTGACCAAAAAGTAACACTAATGTTAAGTGAAAAAAAAAAAACTAGATGACAATTGATAGAGAAAATCCTAATGAACATTGACCATGAAATAACTCTAATCTAAACCAACAAAAAAAAAAATCATAATGTCAACTGAAAAATAATCTATAATAACGTTGATTGAAATGTATATTTATCAAAAAGTAGTATCATTCAGATTGATACAAAAAATTCTTATTAACATCTATCAACAAATAGTTTTGTCAACAACCAATAACATTTTTGTGAAAACTGAGTCAATGACATTAATCAAAACACATTTTGTTGTCTAAATGAGTCAATAATTCTTAACATGAAAATATATATTAACTTGACGAAAGTCTAGATCATATTTTCGATGAGCATTGATGAATTATTTTAGATGTAAGATTTAAAGTCAAGGAATTAAGTTTAGGGGATTTTGCTTGATTTTGAGTTTAATATATAAGAAAAATAGTTGAAGCCTAAGTTCAATATAAAAATAATCATTAACTTCCTTTTGTCTCATTAATTTCCACAGGTCTAAATTTTAATCACACGATAAACCTATATAATTTCTACGTATTCATACTTCAATTAACTAGATCTAATTAATTCCTTGCATTTAGTTGGTACAGATACATGATTCAATCATAGGAAAAATAACCCTGTATAAATCTAGAATTGATTAATTATGTGATTGATCTAATTCGCTTGAGTATTTTTTTTTTTCAATTACATGTAAAGGTATCAAATTATGAATAATTAGAACATTCACAAAGGTGTCAAATTATGAATAATTAGAACATTCACAAACCAGATATCAATCAATAATACAAAATTCATATTAGAAAACAAAGGCTAAGAATCTAGAAACCAAAACAAAGTAAAATAATAGAAAATGTAATTTGCATTAAAGCAACGAGAGCAGATCCTCACGACTCTAATAGAGAAGTACTTGTAGAAAAAGAAATTGAAAAGTCTAAATTATGAAATAGAGAGAAAAAAAACCCTTATACAAGACATGATAAGTCTTATTTACACATTATAGAATACTATATAGTAAAATCGTTTGAATTAAGTTATGCTAAGTCTAAATTCTAATACTATATAGTAAAATATTTTGAATTAAGTTATGCTAAGTCTTATTTACACATTATAGAATATAAAAAGTTATTGTAATACAAGACATGATTCAATCATAGTAAAAATAACCATATATAAACCTAGAATTGATTCATTATATGATTCATCTAACTCAACTAAGTATTTTTTTCAATTACATGTAAAAGTGACAAATTATGAATAATTAGAACATTAACAAACTACATATCAATCAATAATATAAAATTCATGTTAAAAAACAAAGGCTAAGAATCAAGAAAGCAAAAACAAAGTAAAATAATAGAAAATTTAATTTGTATTAACTAAAGTAAAGAAAGAAGATCCTAACAACTCTAATCCGGAAGTACTTGTAGAAAAATAACTTAAAAAATCGAAATTATAAAATAGAGAGAAAAAGAAAAAAGCTCTTAGATCTAAGTTCTAATACTATAAAATAAAACTTTTGACATAAGTTATGTTAAGTCTTATTTACGCATTATAGAATATAAAAAATTATACAAAACTCAAACTCCTTACAGTAATACAACGAAAACGAAATTGCAATTATGCAACTGCTTCCTATATTCTTCCAATTGAAAATTTTAATTTAGTTGACTATCACTCAATGGGTTCTAACTTCTTTGAGCAAAATATGTTTTTCATGTAAATAATTTTCTACCTTTAATTTCCTAACCTTAATTCAATATCAAACCTCTTTTTAATTTATTATTTACGCGTCAATGTAATAATTTAATAAAATATATAAATTAAACAATTATTTAATAAAAACATTGTTTTACTCTAGTTTTTTTAAAACCAAGGATAGCATTTACAACATTTTACTAAAAATTAAAATTCTAATTTTTTAGGTAGAATTTAAAATTTTATTATTTAAAATAATCTAAATATTCTAATAATTTTTATAATTTCATTTTTTAAATTATATACAAACAACATATTTCTTTTTCATAGAACATCTCAAATTTTCGTAAAAATAAATTATCCTCCACAACTTTTTCATCCAAACACATTCTTAAAATTTTAGATATTACCATATTTTCTTATTACTCATGTTCATTAATAAATATCGTCACTTTATTTCTCCATACGTATTGTCTCATATTTAAAGAGAAAATATATCAAGAGGTAGTCACATTTCAAATTTTAATTTTTATTAGATCAAAAACATGAATAGTTGAATTTCAACAGTAAAAAAAACCATCTTTTAAAAGTATTATTGTAATAATAAAACAATAAAAATAGATAATTATGAATAAGTTAATAAATATGAGAATTCAATTTAAAATTGTGGGATTTGAGGTGGCAATTTGAAAAAATGTTCTAAAAAGAAAAATATTAAAATGTCCTAAAGATATTAGTTAACGGATCAAGAAATTAAAAGTGAAAAAAAAAAAGAAAAGAAAAATAGTCACATTAAAATTGTAATATATGCATGTGGCATAGTTTTAATAAAAACTATAATTTGTAATTTTTCAACTTGTCTATATGATCCTTTAAGGAGGGAGTTGTAAAAGGGGAAAAAACATGTAAAACTATTTGTAAACTAAAAATTCAAAGGATCACGAAAATATGAGGAATTTGAAAGTTAGATGAGATTACAAGTCTGTAATATAATTGTAAAAGTATCTAAAATAAAATAAAATAAAAATTAGAATAATTTGCCCTTCTAGCTCATTCAAAAGCTCTTAATCTTGTGGCTTAACCTTGTAATTGTACATTTCAGGAAAAAAAAAAATTCACAACACAAAAAGTATTTCATTTTTTAAAAAACGGGGACATTCGTTTTATTAACTACACAGAATTTTATCTATATATATTGTAGTGTTTCCATTTTTCTAAGTTTGTAAGATTTTTAACTTTAGAATATCTACATGCCAAAAATTCATTCAGTATCTCTGTTATATGAAGAGGTAAAAAAGTAGCAGTAACATTAGTTGTAAGTAGAAGATTTCTAATGATAGTATACGGCTGAAAATAGGAAACAAATCTGTTTTCGATAGATACATGCCATAATGGTCTCAACTTGTGATAAGAATGTTCTGTCTCAAGCATATATTAAAATAGTAATACAACCTCCATAAGAATGTTGTTATTTGTTGGTGATCGAACATAAAATTTAGTTCATCAGTGGTTGTGTTTTCGTTACATTACAGCAATATTGAAGCATATATGGCCACAATCTTTAACCTGCTAACGGAGAACTAAACGTTGGCGACACAAGTTATGATGCCAATACAGCTAGTTATTGAGCCATCTTCCTTCCTATAACTTTCCCTTTTTTCTTAAAAATAGTATCATATCTCTCCTTGGAACTTGGCATTGTCAGAAGAAATGGATTTTAGTGCAGATGAGACTTTATTCTTGTCAATTGAACAAAACAAATTTTTGTCGTATAATGTGTGCATTGCTGCTCCACCCAATATTGTTTCAGATGGTTTATGGGGTGGCCAAAAAAATGGCAGGACTCCAATGAAATCTTCACTCCCATTGTTTGAGTTGCAGGTTCTAGTAATTTTTTCTATCACCCAGATCTGCCGATTCCTCTTAAAGCGCTTCGACTTCCCCCAATTTATTCCATCCATGATAGTATGTCTTTTTACATATTTTTATGTTTATTAAACTACAGTTTCCTTGTTCACATTGTTAATTGATGTGTCTCATGTAAGTAGAGAACAAACTAAGATAAAGTTTTTAAAGGGATAGATGGAAAACATTTTGAAGGCTTTTCCTTATATTTGTACATCATGGCCCAAAACCAATCCATCATATATGACAAAAGTGACATGATAGATTATAGGTTTAATGATCCTTTTGGTTTCTTATATATTGCAATAGGACTATTTTGATACCAGATTTAATTACATAAATGGAATCCTTCAAGTGTTACAATTATGCAATTTTCGTCTGTTGATCAATCTTAAGTTTGGTTGGGATAATTATTTAATAGCAAATTCAACCAAATTATTTTATGTTGCCCTTTGCTTTTGGTTTTTGTTTTAGGTATGCATAATTTTCATATGAATACAAATGTAGAGAGTTGTCTCTCTTGCTATTTATAGTTTCTTCCATACTACATCAGTGACAGTCCCTCCTAGAGACACTAAGGAAGACTTATTAACTGATTCTTAACTTGTTCCTCATGCAGGCTGGCCTGATTCTAGGTCCTGCCATTCAGGTAGAGATATTGGAAAACTACAGAGAGAAGTTGTTTCCATTTCCAAGTCAGGGCACACTTGCAACAGTAACATCAATTGGTTATGCACTTTTCATCTTTACAAGTGGGGTGCAAATGGATTTGAGCATGATAACCAGGACAGGACACAAGGCATGGACCATTGCAATCACTGGATTGTCTGTGCCGTTAATTGTTTGTATTCCAATTGCAAACATATTCACTAAAAATATAAGTATTCATGTTGGAGATGGAGATCAGTTCTTTGATTTTTCCTCTGTAGTGCTCGCAGAAACTATAATTTCATTTGCAGTCGTTGCCTCCCTCCTCAATGAACTTAAAATCCTTAACTCTGAACTTGGCAGGTTGGCATTATCCTCAGTATTGGTGAGTGACATTCTGAGCAAAATCATCACGTGTGTTACCAGTATCTTAAAAGATAGCCAAGATAACTTTAACATTGTAGTGCTGTTGGTATCACTGTTTGCCTTTGGCATCTTTGTTCCATTAATTTTTCGGCCTGCAATGTTTTGGATCATCAAACATACTGCAGAAGGAAGGCCTGTGAATGATGCTTATGTCTATCTTATCATCATAATGGTCTTTGCATTAGGTTGGGTTGCAGTTCAAATAGATCAGGACTTTATCCTAGGAGCTTTTATTCTGGGGTTGGCAGTGCCTGAAGGACCACCATTAGGATCAGCATTGGTCAAGAAACTTCACTTCTTTGGTAACTGTTTCTTCTTGCCAATTTTTGTGACTTGCGGCGTGATGAAGGCAGATTATTCCCTACAGTATTATTCATCAGAACTAGTTTTGCTCACTGCTTACATCACTTTTTTCACTCACTTTGTCAAAGTAATGGCATGCACTATACCTGCCCTCTTTTGCAAGATTCCCTTACAAGATGCATTGGCTCTTGGCCTCATTTTGAACGTTAAAGGCGTAGTGGAAGTTGGTGCCTACGGAATCTTATACGACGAGGGGGTAATGTATTTAGTTCCACCTTCCCTTTCCTTTGAATAAAATTAAGGGTAAATTATAGTACTTCACTTCCTTACAATGTCACTCTTTCTCATCCTACTTCTTTGAGAAAGAGTGAAACATCGAAGGGTAAAATTTATGTTTAGTTTGAGAAGTCTTATCATTGTATATATTAAGTGCAATATCAAATTTCATTTATATGTGCATGCAGACAATTGGTGGTCCTATTTATGGAATAATGATAATCAGCATAATGGTGATAGCATGCATTGTGAAATGGTCTACGAAACTATTGTATGATCCATCAAGAAAATACGCTGGCTACCAGAAAAGGAACATTACAAGTTTAAAACCAGACTCAGAGCTGAGAATACTTGCATGCGTTCATAGAACATACAATATATCTGCTATAAAAGATGTCCTGGATCTTTGTTGTCCAACAACAGAGAACCCCATCATTGTGGAAGTGTTGCATTTGATCGAGCTGGTTGGAAGGACCTCTCCCATTTTCATTTCTCATCGCATTCAGAGAACTATCTCATCGAATTGCCACAAGTCTTATTCAGATGATATCACTCTTGCCTTTGACCTCTATGAACATGACAACATTGGTGCAGTAAGTGTATACAGTTACACAGCCATATCTCCACCCACCCTGATGCATGACGACGTTTGTCAACTTGCATTGGACAAAGTGGCATCCATTATAATTCTTCCATTCCATATAAGATGGTCTAGTGATGGTGCCATTGAATCTGCTGACAAGAACACGAGGACCTTAAATTGTAAGGTCCTAGAAATAGCTCCATGCTCAGTGGGAATCCTGGTGAGCCGTTCTCCCGTTCCAAGTGAATCATTCATTAGGCTAGCAATGGTTTTTTTGGGTGGAAAAGATGACAGAGAGGCTTTGTGCTTGGCGAAACGAGCAACGAGGAAGTCGAGGGTCAACTTGGTTGTGTACCACCTTGTTCCAACGGAATACAGACCAGACGTGGAATATCTACTAGATAACATGGCACTAGAAGATATTAAGACATCACAATCTAGCTTGGGAAATATAAGTTATCACGAAGTCATGGTAAATAATGGACATGAGACATCTCTCATTCTTCGCCAAATAGCAAATCAACATGACTTTTTCATTGTCGGGAGAAGAAATGAACTGGACTCACCTCAGACACACGGACTTACAACTTGGAGTGAATTTTCAGAATTGGGTGTCATTGGCGATTTGCTTGCTTCATCAGATTTTGAGAGCAGAGCGTCTGTTTTGGTTGTGCAGCAACAAGTGAAAGAAACATAATGTAAAATGGAATAACAGATATTCTGGTTGATAATTAAGTCTGAGTTTGAAGTCCCACTTTGGTAGGAATGGGAAAGTTGAGTAATTTATAAGTAACAAAGACTCGTAACATAATGTCTTAAGGTTTTGTGTTAGCATTGTCATATTTTCTTATATGGTTGGCTGGAGTCCTATTTGTTACAATCTCCATGTTGTTAGTCTTATAAAAAAAACCAACAAAGCTATTAGCTCCAGGGTTTGTCCTCCCGGAAATACGTAACAATTCTTTCTCTTCCCTTGTGAACAATTATAATTTAAATATTTTTCTGTTTATGTTATTTAGTGTTGCATGATTTTCTTTAATATCCCCCTTCACTTCCTCCATAATGACTAAAATAGCCTTAGTAACTTTACTGAAAAAGTTTATTTTCTGAAACATGTATTCCAAAATATTGAGAACTCAATACCAAATGCATGTTCCAAAATAGCTTGTTTGAGACTATCCGAGATTCGGGAAAAATATATGGTCAGGTCCAAATTCTACAATATTGGTTGGAGAGTCTCAAGGAAGAAAGTTGTTGTAGATACCTTGGCTTTTTTTAAGGTTTACTGGCAATACCCAGTATTGACATGTTTTCTATCTGTCTAAAAGTCCTCCTTCTACATACAGCATAGGACCTACTTATTATGTCCTCATACACTAAAAGAAGTAACAATCTACCAGGAACACCTATTAATTACAATTTTACCCTTTTCTATTTTTTTTCTAACATACACCAGTAAAGGTTTTTCCCATTCCCTATTGTCTCTATAATGTCTAACAGGTTTTCAGTTTTAAATTTGCATACTATTTTATTTTTACTAGGCCTAATAGTCCAAATGGCTCAGTTTTGATTAGAGGTAAATTTATCTCTACTTCAACATCTTTTTTCATTTGGAGAATCTATCATAATAAGTTGACTAATGTGAATAACTTAAACTAGCAATATATGATTATTGACTGCCCTTTTTCGAAGTGATTTTAGGTCTAGCTTGGTAGCCATTTTCGTTGTCACATTACAGCAGCAGATCTATTTTTCTGCTATTTAAGAATTCTTACAAAGGTCTTGGAGCATTAGAACTAGAACTATCGTTGAGGCCTCTTTACTTGGTATCTTGAAGGCCATATGGACAGCCAAGAAAATCTGTATCTATACCTCCTTCCCAGCTTATCCTAGACATATGAAATCTATTATTCAATAACTCATCATTCTTAAAATCCTTGTGGAAGGCTTTGAATTGTCTTTTAATCAATTTCTCAAGACTTTTTTGAAAAATCGAATTACACATATCGTTTGTCTTTAGTGAATATTAAAAAGAAGACAAACATAAATTTTGATTACATGATCTAATGATAAAACAAATAGACGATGGTTTTCACAGACAAGTTTTTTTTTTTTTTAACAAACACTTTAAATACAATTCAAGATTAGTCAACAAGATCAAGAACCAAACATAAAGATAAACATAGATATTTTTTTAATGTTCTCAAATCTCTTACAAGCACATGAGTATTCTTTTAGCAATCATCTCCTAGCTTAGACAACACGAGTATTGTTTAAACAAACAAGCCACTCCTGACTTTAGTAAGGAAATTAATTTTTCAAGGTAATAAATCATAAGGTTCAATCAACAACTAGACGAAAGGACTGCGTCTAAAAGATGACTATAACATTGAGCTCATTCTAAGTCTAGATAACTTTCAACGTTATATCAATGGAGAAAATTTATACAAAGATAAAAAAGGACTTTTAAGATATAGAAACTTGTTGTCATGAATTTTGAGGGAAAGGCATTACAATGGCGCACATCAATGATGTAATCATTTTTGCTTGCCAACTTACATGTGTGTGTTAGACAAATAATATCTAGAAGGGATGAATAGATGCACAAATTAAAATAGATGCCAAATTAAAAATTTATTTTAAGATGTCCAATATTTATTAATTCAATTTTAATTATCAAATTAAATAAAGATAAAGCAGAAGCGATATATTCAGAGAGATATAAGGAAAGATATAAACGCACAGATATAGGGAAAACAAAGAAGGAGAGTAATGCAGTAAAAGAAAAGGAGTGATTAAGGGAAAAGAAGAGCATACAGTAATTTATACAGGTTCGGGTATAACCAACCTTACATCCAGTTCCTAGGCACTTCAGAAGGCAATATGAAAAAGTTTTCTCAGAAAACCTAAAAGTGCTCTGTTGCTTTGCTCAAAATTTTTTTCTCAAAACTGATAGAATGTAAATTGAATTTTCGAATTATGTAATTGTGCGTTTTTTATTTTTCATAAAAAATCATTTTAATAGGAAAATAACATCTAAAAATAGTCGTTAGTCATTAATACTTTCGTAGAGAAAAATCAGGATGTATTCAAAAACATTTATTCTTCAAAACGGATATATTTTTCAAATATGAACTGCCATAATAAATTATGTTACCAGTATAATCAATTATGACTAAGAGAAAATCGTTTTTCCATTTTTAATGCATTATAATTGATTATGACAGTGAAAAATGTCATATTACGAAATTTTATCACACTTATGCTTTGGAGGCTTATGCATAATACCACTTCATCAACTTGTACCTCCATATCCAGTATTCTAAGACTTTATCTAGTCTTCAAGAATCATCTTGGACTTGCTTGATATTTGAATATTGTTGACTTGAATCATCATCAAAATCATCTCTTGGGAATGTAGGGACATGTTTCACATTTTCATTAATCTCCCCCTCAATGCTTTCAATCTTCTCCTTTTTTTGATGATTAAGGAAACACCTGAAATGAATTAAAATGTTTAACTCTATATAGCCAACTCAATATTAGCACAGATTTGCACCGTATAGTGTAACACAAATTTGTATCAAATGTCAGAGTCTCTTAATCTCTCCCTAGATATATTAATAACAAGACTCCCTCTAACTCATATGAGCAAAGACTTCTCTTAATTCCCCATATTTAATTCAGAGGTAGAAATGAATTTCACACAAATTTTAATTCATAAAAAATAATATCCCCTTGTTTTATTGATAATCACAAAAAATATTTCAAGAGAAAAAAATATCCCACTGTTTCACACAAATCTTTAATATCATCAAAATCTCTTTCTGTTTCATTGATAATTGTGAAAAATATTGCAATAGAAATTGAGCATAAATTTGCATAGATTATTACATAAATCAAGGTAGAGAAGATAATGTATTACAAAGTGTCATAGAGAAGAAGATCATATTAAGGAGGCAATATCTAGGATACCCAAGACAAATGAAGAGAGAGAAAGATAGGGGAATGGAATGATTGCAGAGATAATGAAATGGAATGCAATACTTTCCTCCAATTGCAGTCTCCTTATTGAGGCAACTTTCAAATTCAAATTCACTCATATTCCAATTTTCACATTTGAAATTCAAATTGCAACAAATTTCAAATTTCAAATTCAAATTCAAACAAATTCCAAATTTCAAACTTCAAATTTTGAATTTAAACTTCAAATTTCAAACTTTCAATTTTTAAACTTTCAAATTTCAAAACTTTTAAATTTCAAAACTTTCAAATTTTAACCTTTCAAATTTCAAAACTTTCAAATTTCAAATTTTCAAAATTCAAACTTTCAAATTTCAAATTTTCAAAATTCAGACTTTCAAGTTTCAAACTTTAATAATTTCAATTTTTCATAAATTCAAATTTTCAAAATTCAAACTTTCAAATTTCTAAGTTGGTTAACAATCGAATTTATGTGACAGATAAATGCAGATATTCAATGCAGAGGCATGTGAAATAATAATAAACTTATTTTTGTGATATTTTCCTGTTTATCCAGCTTTGCTCCTTTTAGCTCCAATAACCTGCATTGATTTCTTATCCTTGATAATTACATACAACATCAACATACAAATCTAGGTACTGTTTAATTATTTTTGGGTCCTTAAAAAGGTTAGTAGAATCACAAGTCTCTGCCAAAATACTAAGGATAAAATAATAGAACCATGATATAAATTTCATTTTTTTCAAACTTTCAAATTTTTTTTTGTCATAATCGATTATCACAGCACCTTCAGAATCAACATAATCTATTATGACGACAAGAAATTTCACTCTAGAAGACAACATAATCGATTTTCACAACACATACAAAAATAACATAATCAATTATGACAGCAAGAAATCATACTCCAAAAGTCAACATAATCGATTATCACAATAGAAAATTATTTTGCAAGAGTTTTATCATCTAGGCATGTGTAAATGTTTTGACCCTTTAGGCACGCATTCATATTTTCCATTAGATATATCAAAATTGATGAGTCCCTAGTTGCCCCGGAGGCGGGAGAGGTCATTCCTAGGAGGATTACTAGAAGCATGACTAGAAGGGAGGCCTCCTCTTTACCTTCCATTTTGAATTTACTTAGTATCTTTACTTTGTATTTTCTTTTTCTAAGTTTTTCACTTATTTTCGCTTTCTTTTTGTAGACTCACTTTTTGCACCTCCTTTTTGAAGAATACCACCTTTTTTTGGTGGAAAAGAAGCCTTGGATCCATAGGATACATGCATGGGCAGCCCAAAGGTGTAGGACACTCCTTTTTCATGTCCTACACCCCTTTTTGGAGAGGAAGAAGCTTAGGATGCGGGATTGGTTGGCTTGGGACAACCCAAAAGGAAATACACCTCTTTTTTCATGTTCTCCACACCCTTAGAGGTATTTTTGGTGGGCTAGAACGAATTTAACATATTTGGACCATGGGGACTCTAGCCTTTAGGTTTAGGTTAAGTTTATGTCTCCTTTTATAATTCCATCTAGGTCCCTCCCCTAAAAGCCTATAAATAGAGGCTTCCCCTCATGTAATTAGGTTGAACATTTATGAAAAGTTTGTGAGGTTTCTTAGAGTGTTCCATCTCTTTGAGTGTCTTATCTTGAACCTTGGTTCAAGTGGCGGCAACCACCACTTATCTAGGGTGGCTCATCCCCCTAGTGGCGTGCCAACACTCCACCACCACCATAATTCTTTTCTCTTCCTCTTTTCTTCTTTATTTCTTCCCTTCATTTATTTATGCAAGGGGCTGGTCCAATTTTCCAGCCCTTGTCTTTATTCGTTTCTAGTTTCATTCCATCTCTTTCTCCCTCCATAATCCTTGGAAATGAACCTTCACATCTAGATAGGCAACTATCTTAATGTCCAAGTGGGAATTTTCCTTGGGTTTGCTTACTTTATTGCTTAAAATTCTGCACCTTATCTTCTTACAATTCTGCACCTTACTTTATTTTTACATCATTTGGTATTCGAGCTTAGGTTGTTTCTAGTAAGGTATTCTTATTGTTGCTTTGACATTATTCCTTGTGTAGTTTGTGTTTTGTGCTCTAAATTGTGGTTTTTTTTATGGTCATTTGGTTTACGGTGCTGCACTCAAAAGTTTGGGCGTGAGGTTAGTCCAATACTACACTCACCTAAGTTTCTTTTTATGGCATGTATGATGTTTGATAAAATGCCTAGCCAAAAAAAAAAAAAAAATTCTGCACTTGATTAAATTACATATTCTTCTAAGTTTAGTGTCTTTCTAAATGTGCCTAGCCTTTGCTTGAGTTATATGTCTAGTATCTCTTGTTGAAGTTTTCTTTTATTGGCTTCCAACACTTGAAATTGCATGATGAATTAATTAGTTGAGTCCATGCATGATGAATTGATCTAGGATCCTAAACATAGGAACTAAGTGATCAAATTTTTGCTAGCAACTTTAAACAACTTTTGGCAAGTCTAGAATCAAGTTAGAACAAAAATATTTTTACAAAAAAAAGTATCTTGATCAAAACCTTATTGCTTCAAACAAACAAAAAAAGGAAAAGAAAAAAAAATTCTGCACTTATAGGATTTGATTCTAGAAATTGTCATAATACTTAGTTGCATGATTAAAATTTGGCAAATTAGTTCTAACATTGTAGGAACCTTAATCTTCTTTATGTGTGTGCTTGGTTGAAAATTTTGATTGCATGTTTTAAGTGCTTCTCAAATTTCTTTCTAGCTTTTCTTGTTTTAGTCTTGTTCAAAGTTTTGTCTAAATTTCCCTCTTAGTAAACCTTCCTTGATTTTGTGCTTTTATTGCTTGTCTTAGGTTTCTTTAAGTTTTGTCTTTGAAGTTTTCTATTTTTTGGAACTCTTAAGTGTTTTGGTTGTTGTACATCTTTCCATTTGATTGCCATTTTTCAAGAGAAATTTTTTAAGACTTTAAAGAGAATTTTGGAACATTTAGAAATTTTTCTACTTGAAGAGTGGAGTGATCCTACCAATAAATCTTGTGTGAGGAGCCAAACACTTGAGTGACTTGATTTACATTTTAACCTTTCATCTTTCGTGTTTTGTATTAGTTTAACTTGTTTTGCAGACATGTCAAATTCCTCATCAGAGAAGGAAAGCAATGTGGGGGCATCTAATGAAGGACAAATACAAGGTCTAGCGGAACAAACTCTGGTGGAATTAATTAAAGAAATGGAATTGTCCCGAAGGAAAGTGAAAGACATTTGAGGGAGACAATCCAAAGACTAGAAGCCGAGA